CAATTGCAAAACAAGGAAAACTAAAAGTGTGCAAGATAGTAAAGTAACATTTGGATGACAAGTACAAAATAAAAGTACATGCATGAGATATTAATGTAAAAATCAAGCAAGATAAAAAACAAAAGGTTTTGCAATATATGAGATGGATATATCTGACAGACTCTGGACTTGGAGGTTGGCAAGGTGGTATGTTATCAAGATGCTGTCACCTTTGTGGTGCATTGGCCTTGCTGGCAATGGTTTTAAAGGATATTTTGCTCATAAATTACCATTGAATAGGCAACCTTTCAAATCCCTTGAATTCGGGTATCTTCATGTCACTCACACATATTGGCACAAGAAGGGGAGGTCTGATAGTGAGGCAAGTCAGTCTTACACATATGCAGACTTACTATTTTCTTTTCTCAGATAACAACAATAACAGTAGTAAACAAACAAAGACAAACCTTTGGACTACCATATGGCAGATATATAGGTATATCACGAGAAGACCATGATGGTAAGGAATGAACCAACAATGACAATAAGACAGTCTCCATGCCAGTTAACTCCCACCTGGAATGCACCATGAATTGTCAGAAACGCTGTGTTAGAGAATCACAATCAACAACTATATTCTGACAAATGGAAAATTAACTGCATTTCTCATTTTGAGGTCCAAATCAAGACTTAACTCCCAAGTTCTCAACTATTGACCCTTGAATTATATATTCATTAGGTTCTGATGCATACAAAAGATATATTTTTCAACCTTGGACAAACTTGCAATTAATAAATATTACTAAGAATTAATAATTTATAACTTATATAGTGCAAAATACATGTGGATATGATCTAATGCTCTATACAATAAGACTAAGCAAAATAAAATATGAAAATGAACTATAAAAGGCTAAGAATATACAATTTGACTAACTAAAAACGAACCATAAAAGCAAACATGAAAATGCCTGTCTAAAGAGATGTGTTTTAAGAAGTGTTTTAAAACAATTAAGATCATTTACTGCTCTTATATTTGATGGCAATCTGTTCCAAAGTTTAGGAGCAGCTGCCATAAATGATCTATCACCTAAAGTTTTCTTAGTTATTGTCCTGGGTGGCAATAATTGTAGTTCAGACTGAGATCGTAACATCATACATCCAAATTGTTGTTTAACTTTAGATCCATAATGTACTGAGGTGCCAGCCCATGGATAGCCTTGAACGCTAAAATAAGTAATTTAAATTCAATTCTGAGACAGAAAGGTAACCAATGTGAGGAAAACAAAGTAGGAGTTATATGACAAAAACAAGAAAGGGAACAAACAAGTCAGGCAGCACTGTTCTGAATATGTTGCAACTTGTTGAGATGTGCAGCTGGTAGACCATACAGCAAACCATTGCAATAATCAATACGTGCAGTGATGAATGCATGAACAAGTGTTTGTGTGGAGTCTTTAGATAAATACTTTCTGATGCCTCTGATGTTATACAGGTGGAATGACAAGGTCTTACACATCTTGTTTATATGACAGCCCATGTTCATGTTTTCATCAAACCATGACCCAAAGTTTTTAACGGCAGTCACAGGACTGATAGTAGCGTCACCAACGACCAACCCCTTGATGTCAACTTCAGTGAGTAAACATTACTTTGGTTAAACTAATATCACTACTGCATAAGAGTAACACTTCTAGAACTAGTTACCCTATCAAATTGTACTCCTAGAATTCTGTGGCATTATCTTTAATATCAATTAACTTAACATACATGTAAAATTTGGGCTTGACTTGATTCAATACCTATATATATTTTTAATGATACAAACAGCAAACTGCTAATTGAAATACATGGTGAGAAGAAGGAAATCTTACCATCGTTCTGTTGCTACAGCCACTTTTCCCATGACAAGCAAACATCCAAACTCACTGCTGACTGCTGTAGCAAAAGCATCCAGAAACTCCTGTAACAACAGAATGTTAGAAATGTCAAAGTCACAACTAACAGTGTATAAAATGCTAAGAAATGAATGCTGTGTGAATCAGTAAGGGTTTACAAGCTGAATATGAAAAAGAAAATGAAAAACCATCAAGAGGAAGGAAAATCCAAAAGCAACACTTTGCAATGCATTTCTACACATTAAGCCCAAGGTAAAGATGCTCCAATCCTTCTGCAGAGTTTATAATGCTTTTATATTTACTGGCAATACAATGTACCTGTAGAAATGACACATCTGGACAAAGAATGATATCAACAGCTTGAGTAATGTTTCCTGTTAACTCTGTGCCTTCCAAGAGACTGTCAATCAAACTATAACAACACTGAAGAAATACATCAATTAATTGATATAAATGTATTTTTATTATGTAAACTACTGTACACACACAAGAAAACCTGAAATCAGAGGCAAACTCTAAGAAAGTTACTTACTCTCAATTCCCTCTTTAGCAGTTCTACATTTCTGAAAGATGTCAACTCATCTATTCCTAATAACAAAACCTAAAACATAATAATACCAAGCAGTGTTAAAGTAAAAAATTTTCGGGAGTTATCCTAAAAATGTGTTTTCAGTTATTTATATGCTAAAAAAAAGTTAATTTCACAATAATTACTAAACAAACTGGATCTAAGTGATCAATTTCCAGCATTAAAAAAATTGTATTGTATTCGATAATAACGTGGTGCAATGTAAAGCACAGACATGATTGTATCATAAAAAAGAGCAATCACAAGTTTATTATATCTGAAGCCTATCCTGTAGTTACATCAGTGCATGTAGTCTGGTGCATGTATTAATTGTCAGTGTTTCCCAAAGAGTTTATCCTAAACACTCTACTTGGTCATTGTTGACCATCCATTATCTTTAAAAAGTTTTAGGTGAGTGATTGAATAAATCTTTATTAAGATCATTTACACTCCACCACATGAAGACACATCATCAGTGTTATACTGCAAGTGAAGGGAAGACATACAAATAGATGGCCTTACAGTTTTAAAATACTCAGTTTGTATTAATAACAGGTAGGTCTCAGTACTCATCAATAGGAAAAGCATACAAATTTCCATGTATTATATTACACCTACCATGGAATTAAAGACAAAATCTAAGAGTCTATTAAGATGCAAATCACTAGCATTGTCATCAGAGGCAACAATTATTAAGGTGATCCTGAAACGACATGAAAAAAAATTAACTCAGTTGAAAATACTTTTAATTAGCATTACACGGGAATTCACAGGTTGATAACTGATCCCCAAACCATCTAGTGCTTATAAAATTCATCTGTAATACAGTCCCACAAATGAGGAAATGTTTTCAGACTCTTAAGAAATATTTTGTTGTCCTTAGCTGTAAATTCACTCTGCCTCTTCCGGCAACTAACTCTGATAGACAGCCACAAGACTGCACACATGTTTTCACAATGTTATATTTTTCTCTATTAACCCTTTAACCCTGAGGAGTGACTAGAATCTCATTTCTCCTTAGAATATCACCCCTGAATCAAACATATAGGTCATGAGAAAAAAGAAAATGATCAACCTAAGTTTTGATTGTTAAACAAATTCTCCTTGGCAGCTCCTTAGGAAATGTGTAGAGGACAGTATGAAGAAGATGCATACTGAAGTAAGGGTGTAGAAGGTTAACCTTCCGGAAGGTGGCCCCTTCATGATTGCCTGCCTTTACAAAGGCACCATATAAACTTTGCATATATGGATTGTATTAAACTTCAACTTTTAAATCAAGTAATAGATTGCAAGCTCTTGAATGAAATCCTTTGGTTGATAAAGAAGAGCAGTCCAATTGAAGAAAGAAACATTAATAGAGACAGACATATTGCAGGCTAAACTTGCCACTTTTTACAAATGTTACAGACCACATATGCTCTGAAATCCCATTTAAGCTTGTCAGTTATTGAAGTTCTAGATGTTATTAGATCTTTTGATATCATTAGACATAAACATCATACATTTCATGCCTGGTGATTTCTATTACTTACAAGAAAAATTCCACATGCTTCAAAGAGGAGTCAAACTTTTACAATATGCATGACCCTTCTAAGACCTGAGACCTTTCAGGAGGTCATGAAGTTTGGGAGCTCTTGAAGTTCCCTTTTTTCAAGACAATAGTATATTATTTCAATAGAAAAAGATAAACTGAATAATAAAACACCTTTCATTAAAAACCTTCCAGACAACTTTAGCATCATCCGTGACTGTGTTAAGCAAAGTGACATCTTGATTGTTGGCAAACATGCACACACCATTAAGTGATCCAATCACAGGAAAAGGCAACTGTATGACAACACACAACATATAACCACAAAAAATGACAAAAATAATCAAAAAACGCCAGGTATATGTATTACAGTGTGCTTCAGAAGCTTGATTCAGAGCTAACCTTTATTTTTACATTATATTTATATGCACATTTAAAATAATTGGTAATGACTTTTGTTGTAAGTAAATAAGCCCATGTTCACAGGATGTGCTGTACTATCCAACAGAAAAATTGGTGATGTCCGTGTGGTCACCTCTCTAACGTTTCCAAGGTGATGTGACAAGCAGTTCTACTTCTAAAGGCTGTCATTTTCAGCCAACCCTCCCACTGGTATTGGTACAAGGAAAATTTTCCTTGATAATATCTGAAAAAAGACTTAACACAGTCTTTCCCCCCCTCCCCTCCCCCCAACTTTGATTTGCAAACAAACTGATTTAATTTGATAGAATCCAGAAAGTTACCAAAGTTTCTCTGGCTGCAAGGTGGTTTATTAGCCCTTATGAAAAACTTCTCACAGAAAAAAAGTCGAGCCCCCTTCACATCTAGTATAAATGTTACAAAACATACTTATGTACTACGTTATATACACTTTTAAATCACTCTACCTGTGGGAGGTTTCCTTTCGTTCTAGTGAACAGTGGAATGCCGCCATCAGTCGTCAAGCAAACCAAATATGCCGCCATGTTGAACTCTCGCCACGCGCATGCGTCCAAGGTTCGGAAGAACGCAGACAGCTGATAGAGAGATGGCGGAAAGCACACGACTGTGACCTGAACCATATGACTATAGGACTTGTGAGTAAATTGTTGCAAGGGGGATGCGTGACTGCTAGCGCTTGCTGTGTGCTTAACTTCATATGGGAACATGTCGTCCAATTGATAGTGGTATGTATTAATTTTACCTTTTCCGCATGAAGAAATTTGATGCAATGACCGTGGATAATTTGGGCTGCCTTGAAGGTCCAAAGTAGATGAGCATCCGTTGAAATAGATTTTACTATCAACCTCTGAAAACCGTGTCTTTCACACAGATTTTCGCGTTTGTAGGAACAGAGGATGGTTTGATTAAGAAATTCGGTTGAGGAAAATCGGATATAAAAAATTATTTGTTTGGAACGTTCGTGATATGGCCTGCCATCAATTGATCATAATTATTTCTCTCGTCGTCTGTTGTAGAGATGTTTTTGTTATACATCAGAGAGAAAAAGTGTTTAAAAGATGAATCTCTCATTCAAAATAAACATCATTATGTACATATGTATGCCTTACTCGTATTTTGTGGTTACGAATTCATTACTTAAGCTTAAAGACGAATGAATCTTGAAAGCATTTAAAATCCTTTTTTTTTTAGCATCGACCAGCAAATTAAAATTAGCAATATAGCTTTGTTAATCAGTATTTTAAGTTTCACTTACAACATCCATGGTGGAATTTCCTTGTTATGTGTATTGCAGTGAAACAGTTTTCTTGCTGGTATGAAATGTCATTAACGGTCATCAACACAAAATGACAATCACGTCCTCTTATCTCATATTTCATACATGCTAACAAAGGAAAAGGAAATGTCAAACCAGGAATGTGATCTCTGCCCTACTTATTGTTATTCTTTTTGTCATATGATGCTAGCAAACATTGTTAATGAAATTGGCTTTTGATTTATGCCTTAGGCCATAATCTGTATTATTTGGAAAGGCAAGAATCCTGGAACAAGGAATTTGGCTTTTGAGGTTGCTTTCCTTTTTCTTTGTTTTATTATTTTTGATGGCATGTGTCAAACATTATGGCAGCTTTTAACAGAGAAAGAAAGACAAAAAATGTTCTTAATTTGACAATTCATAAGGTTTTTGTTATTTGTCTTTTTTTTTTATTATTCAAGGTGTCAGGTCCATCTATGATTCCTACCTTCAATCTCAAAGGAGATGGGGTTATTGTGGTCTCAGAGCATCTTAGTTCATATTTCAGAACAATTAAAAAGTAAGTGGCCAGTTCCATTGAAATGATATACAAAGAGGCCATTAGGTTCCTAGTAAAAATTTGTAATTTGAAGTCTTATCAACACATGTATCATTTCTTCCTAGTTTGGATGAACCCTGTCACCTCAGAAAGTGCAGTTTAGATAATAAATTACTTTTTCTCAAAAGAATGATGTAGACACTTGTCTCAAGATTGAGATGACTGACTGAGTTTTTTGCCATCTGAAACTCTACTTTTGAGCTAAAGAAAACTTGTTTGTGTGCTACAGCTTTAGGTCACATGCTAAGTTCATATGTGACAAGTTAGTGTTTTCTTTTTAATTGCTAGGATCTGCAATGTTGTAAGGAATTCCAGTATATATATATATATATATATTTATATATATATATATATATATATATATATAGTTAGATGGCTCAGTTATCTAAGGAAGAAATAACATAATGGGTTTTCTGTGTTTTGACATCCAATTTAAAATTAGCCATCTTTCTTATTCTATCTTCATGGTGATTTTGATATAAATATGTCAGCTTGAAGTGACTACTTAACTTCAATATAACTAAATTAGCTAACAAAGTATTTTTTACTGAGATCTGTTTGCAGCTATTGGGTTGTAGTAATTTTGAGAATATTTAGCTGACCAATTGTATGTGTTGCTGCTTACAGAGGAGATGTTGTCATTCTGAGGTCTCCTGAGAAACCAAATAACCTTATTTGCAAGAGGATTGCTGCAATGGTTGGTATATTGTGCAATAGGTACTGCATTAACTCTGTAAAAAAATGTTTGAAATTGGAATGAAATAACCTGATAAAGTCCTCTGCAGACTGTTGTTTCAAACTGTAGTAAGAGTTATTTAATTTGACAACAGAAGAGTTGATGTGATCTTTGGTCTTTTTGTTTTCCCACTTGTAGGGTGGGGAGTTCATGAGAACTGACACTGATGGAAAAGATAGCTTTGAAGTAAGTTTGTGACCGCAGACTGAGGAGAAGTAATCAATATGTCTGTAATTGAGAACAAGCCTAAAAACATTAAAAAGATGTTTAATTCTATAACCACCTGCATCTTACTAAGACTTTTTTGGTTATTGGCAAGCCAGTGACCATGCTACCATCATGTATTAACTAGGACTAAGTGACTCTGTGTTTTTGTTAAGTGATCGTTAGCTCAAAGTAGAAATGAAAGTTGATGCATTTTACTTCAGAACCTCAATCTTCTTTGTATTGGCTTAAGATTCCGAAAGGACATTTGTGGCTTCTTGGTGATAACC